GAATAGTTTTTTTTTTTAAGAAATTAAAGGAAAGTTGGAGACATCCTCCAATGCTGTAAGCGATAACTAAAGGTGTTTTATGGCTTCTAGATTTCATAACTGATGTACTATTGCCATGCTGTGAGTGGTCTTTCTTTCAATAAATCCAAATGAAAACTACTACTTGAATATCAAAGGAGCAATTCATAAATGTAGTCAAATTGTTCAAACATGGTCTTTTTTAGTCTTGTATACAAACTGTTCAAATACTCCCCCCGACCCAGACTTCAGAAAGACAAAATTTTCTTCATTCTTTTCGGTTATAAAAGATTACTGCTGAGCACCATAATTTTTAAAAATCACATTTCTAAGTGGAAGAACATAATAAGTATAGGAGTGTATGTGTGTGAATGTGTACACAAATGTGAGGTGGCATAGTATTCAGGAAGACAAACTATGTTAAATTCTAGACAGACCATAGACCCATCTTTACCAGATGGCAACCTTGGCTAAAGATTATTTTGCAATTATCCATAGAACACTCACAAAAACCACTGAAACACCACAAAATAACCTTATTTCTATCTCTAACTCAGTCTCCCTTTAAGTGGCTAAATAGCTACCTTCATTCACACAATCTGTATTTTCCCCTTTTTACTGTGGTAGAGTTTAAGTAGACTATTTTAATTTACCTCACTATTATTCTAGTTAATTCATGGAATATATACATATGTTTATTAATCATAGTTAAACCTATGTTCATATATTTATATATACAAAGTATATTTGTTTTCTATCTTTATATGATAGACTTTACATGATAATCTTTATATGAAGACCACTGGAACTGAAGTTATCATCTACCTTATGAAGATTCAGATGAGAACTTAATTTCTGTGAATTTTTGAATCCCAGAAAAGCCACAGATATGGACTTAAATAAAAAAGTAGAAAATATTTACTCTCTTGAAATGGCTTTGCCCAATTTTGATTTGGAGCTTTATAGCAGCACATCTTGGGATATCTTAATCGGCCATCTGTACCCAGGAATTTCACACTTGCTATGTCGGCCAAATTTCCAGAGTTTAGAGGCTAAAATTCACACTTATTTTTAAACCCTTCCACCAATCTCCCAAACTTTGAGAGTTAAGATTCCCATCTGACATTGATTTTCGGATTTCATCCCTACAAGGAAGGAGTCTTATCTCAAAAATTCATATATTATACTAGACTACTTTGTTAAACTACTGTAGCTCCAGCATCAAAAACAGTGACAGGGGACAGCCAGTCATACTGAGATGCAGTCTTGTGTGAATTCCAATAACTATGAGGCATTTTCCTACAGATCCCATAATATAGACACTGAGGGCTGTACTGGCTTCCTCTTTGTGGTATCTCATGGGTATGTGGCTATTAATGCACATAGAAAGAAAAACCACAATAGAACCTGTAGGTTAAAGACATGCAGCAAAAGGCTACACTGCCATATTTAGTATTCAAGAATCAAATTCCAGTCAGAGCTTCTCTATCTCTGTGCTTCTATTTTAAAGTGATAGCACATGATATAGCCAATGACAGAAACTGTGCCAAGGAAGAGAAAGCTTAAATATGAATTTCAGCTAAAATTCTACACTTCATTCCAAACACGAGCCCAGAAAACACCAATTTCAAATAGCAAATGATTTCTGTGACATTTGCTTCCCAAGAGTTAGATATGGTCCCACACACAGAAAAAAAAAAAAGTTACTTTATGACTCTAGAAATCTGTTCTACTGCTCCTTAGCTGTGTGCCCTGCAACAATCTTTAGAGACCTCAGTTTCCAAATGTGTAAAATAAATAAGTTGGAACAAGTGATCCTAGAAGTCACCTCCAGCTCTGAGAGTCTACAACGTATATGTCCTTCAAATGTTTGATAACTTCTTTCCTCAGATTCCAACTGGTCACTGTTATGGTGAAATACTTTTCAGGGCAATGACTAAAGATTTTTTTAAGTCATTTCAATCTGGAGACCACTGCCTTTCTTCTATAGTAATAGTTATTTAAGCAATTGCATAAATTAGCCATAAATTAGCAGGTATTTGGTCTGCCATTTCATATAACAACACTGTAAGTAGAGGTCTTTGTAACATAGAGAATTCCATGGTGCTTGGGTTAGTAACGATGTATTGGAAAGAAACATAAAATGAGATAGGATCACTACATTTTTAGCAAATGACCAACAATAATAAATCAAAATGCAAGCATAGGTTGTTATGAACTTCCCTTTTAGATTGTCAAGAGACATCTAAGACTGAGTGAATATTCTCAGAGGGATGATTATTAAAGTTCCCTCCTTAAGATTAGTTTCCCAGGAGCCTAGAGGGTTTATCTAAAGGTGTTAAACACTTATTACCACCTTATAGAGTGGCCCCCAGGCTCTAAGATTACTTTCCAGAGCTAAAGTCTCTAAGCTCTCATTAGCACTTTTGACTGTTCTTCAAAGTTTAATTCACAGAAAACAATGAAAATGTTCAACAAAGATTTCTGAGAAAGGAGGGCCAAGTGTAGAAACCTTATGACCTCATAGGTGATTTGATTGTTCTGGGCAAAGGTACAAAATGTTCCTAAATTATAAACTATTCTGGTTAATTGAAATTAAAAACCTTTTGGGTTTTAAACCTTTGTTGTGGAAGCTTTTTCTAAAATGTGATGCCACACTCTTGTTACCTTAACCGTATTGCCTTAATCATACCGTAGGAGAGGCAACAGGTATAGCAGACAAGAGTGAGACATCTTTAGCCAGGAAGCTATGAGTTAAAGTCCTGCAGTCTGACACTATAACCTGAGAAAAGACACTTAACCTCTAGAGACTCAGGGGACTCCACATGGCTAAAAATTACAGATGAATTAATACTCTTCATTGGCAAATGGATTTTCGTCACCAGAAGTTCCCTAACCTGATGAACTAACAGATCTACTCCTGCCTTCCTTGCCCCCATTAGCATAATGGAGCCAATTTAATCATCCTTTTATGAATAAAGAATTTTTAGTGCTTCCGATTATAAATTTTGAATATTAGTATAGATGTCCTAAGAGGTTTTTCCCCCCCTTCAATAAATCTCAGATATAACTTATTTTCTTGTGCTCTGCTTCGAAGTCTAGTTTTAAAAAAATGGGTTAAGGGTATCTGGTTAAACACAACTTGACTATATCAAGTGCAGAACAAATTAAAACAGAGATTGAAATAGCCAGTATCTGTCCTTTCTTTGTGTAATATCCTGTTACTTTGTGGAATTCGGTGACATAGGAACACAGGCTTTAGAGTTGAAAAGAATGTTAGCCATCAGCTAGTACAAGTCCCTCATAACAAGATAAGGAAACTTCAACACAGAAGTTAAGTGACTTGCAAAGAAGAAAAAAGGTCAAGATTTTAAACCCAGGCCTTCCGTTTTCAAACCTAGAGCTCTATATTCCTAAAAGCTACATCGGCATATTAGTACTTACATCCAGAAACATCAAGAAAATGGAGCACAAAACATAAATGTTGAACATTTTCACACTAATTTTAGTTTCTGTTGTTAAATAGTAGATAATAATGAGGAGGGCAAAGCCAACATATAACCCCCAAATCTGGCAGCATCATATTACCTATTTGCATTGAAATAACACTTTCTTGCATTCATTAAAACACAACAGCATCATAAGTTCTCCTGGTTTCTACCCTGAGCAACCAGAGATTTGGTATAACTACTGGGTTTTAGGTTTTGTTTTGGTTTGGTTTTTGGTGGGGTTTACTTTTTTGTGAATGTGAGGGGAGAGGCTGTGAGTAGATGTGAGTGTGTGATCAGTTCACCAATTGGAGTTTTCAGTACCACCTGATAGGAGACTAGGAACATTGGATACTTCTCCTTCAGTTAGTAAAACCAAAGCACCAGTTTCATAAAATCCTTTCCCATAGGTGCTAATAATTATGAACAATGTATTCTTAACATTCACAGAAAAAAGAAAGGAAAATTAGAATTTGAAATGGTACTCTTTCCTCACATAAAGGAAAGGTCTCTAGAGACCCTGATGGCAGAAAATAGGCAACACTGTCAGAATCCAACAGAATGTTTGAACAGTTCAAGTCAAATCTGTCCCAAAAAAGAAGGAACATACAATTTTTATAACTGCTGAACTCATTAAAAAGAAATAAAATAATGCAATTTCATTAGATTATAACGTGAAACCAAAAGAGAAATAAACGGCAAGGACTATTTGTCCTTCAGGCTGGGGTGGGGAGGGAAGCTAGAAAAGAGAATTCTAAAAAGGTTAGTGAAAATTCCAATTTCAAGTATATTTTGAGGTTGACAGAATTAAATAGCATAATCTTTTTTTTTATCATTTCTGGAGAACCACTAATGAAGTAAATTAATCTATCAACAGGATGATTATATTTATCTCTTAAATTAAATAGTAATGAAACATAAACCAAGACTATGACATTCTGAAATGGCAAAAGCTTGAACCAAGTATATATACTGCAAGAGCAGACAAAAATTGGCTCTTAAAATTCACAGACAAGGGCATTATGACTATATATGTAGATCATTGAGTCAAAGACTAAAATTCAAATAGGTTCCTTGTTCTGTACCTGTGCTACATGCACATTTTTTCCCCTAGAACAACAATATGTAATTGGGAATACAAAATAGTTATATAGAGATGATTCAAAATGCAGAACACATGTCAAGGAATATTAATAATCTGTGATTTCGTTGGTGTAGAAATTGTCACCACCAACACAGATTGCAACCCACCTACTACTCAATAGATAAATCTTGGAGAGTTGCCTGAGACTCAGAGACATTAAGTGAATTGCCCATGGTCACACTGCTAATAAGTGTCACAGGCAGGATGTGAGCCCACATATTCCTGACTGTAAGCCCAGCACTCTACCCACAATGCAACACTACCTCCTAATATACAACAAGAGAGTATTTAAAATAAAGAGCATGAAAAACGGTCAGCACTAATGTGGTTTCTATAGAGATTTGGCATACCTCATAATGGCTTTCTTCATTCTCCTGAATGTGGAAACCCGCAGAGCTGGGACATTTCTGAGGAGTGACAGGAATACTGTCACCTTTGCTGTGTGAATTACACTGTAAGAGATTACCAAATAATGGTGACAAACTACTCCACTTTTAGAGTGTCTACTGAGAGAAATGACTATTTGTTACGATCCTATTAAAGGAATTCTACTCTAGCTAATGAGGGCATATAAGACAGATACATGCATTAACAATATTATAACACTGGTTTTAGAAAATGCCCAAAAAAAGGTTCTTGTAATAAATAATATCTTTGGGGACACAAAATTATATTCATCATCTGATATGGGAAGTAAGGAAACTAAAAAAAAATTGTTCTTTCATAGTATTTCCCTTTTATGTTAGCTTTGAATATTAAGTTTAAAGTTTTTACCTAATACAAGTTAAATAATGGCAAATCTATACGTTAAATGGATACGATTAAAAATATCAAGTTCAAAGTCTCAGAGCATTAACTTTTAAGTAGTTTTCTACACTGGATGCTTAGGCACTATTTTAAAAGCCTAAACAAATCATTTTACTTCAAAAATGTAATTAAAACAATATATGAATATATGAAATAAAACAATACATGAATATATAAAAACAACATAAGAATTTAAATGCTGTCTGATATCTTTTCATTTAAAATATTTCCCTTCATATTCCATTAACATGCACTTATTGTGATAGTAGAACAAAAGCTCTCTGAAGGCAAGGGCTCTTTCATTTTTGCCTTTGTATCCCCAGTACCTAACACATAGCATGTGCTTACAAAATGCTTGTTAACTGATTGTCCACTAAGGTTTTCTAACATGAAAATAGTCTTTCTTTAGGGGGAAAAACAAACTTAAACACACCAATCCTCATCTATTAACAAGATAGGTTTATGCTTATTTCAATAGCATAATTTATTGAATAAAACTTGGAATATTCTAATAACTTCTCTTATCTAAAGGCATAGGCATATCTCACCCAATAAATACCATTGCTTGTTTCCAGGAAAACAGTCTTCTAGGTGGAGAGATATTTCAAGGGGAAGTTATCCCACAGATACAATATTATAGATTGCCAATGAGTGAGATGGTGTTACAAGGGAATTTGGAAACTTTAGAGTGGAGTTTGGTTTAAATACATTTATGCATTGCAAACCAAATTTTGTCTGGACAACATATGTGGGGTATACCTATACTTCAATGCCTGGATATAGTACTTGTAGACACGAATATATATATATATATATATATATATATATATATATATATATATATATATATATACACACACACACACACACACACACACACATACATACATACATATACACATACATATATATATATATAAAATATATATATTTAATTTGAAAGTTAACAATATACTGCTAATTTACATCCCAATAGGAGAGAACAGAATGACCCTAAAATGAATTCAATCCACTCAGCATTTTCTCAGTTTTATGCCCTATTTCATTTGTCTAGTTAGTCTAATGTCTACACTTTTCCATTCACTTTCCTAATGAAAAACATCATTAGCAAGTATATAAATCACATATATAAATATATACACACATGTCTGTATATGCTTATATATGTATATATACACACAAATCTATGTTCTACAGAATAATTAAAGCATCATGCCTAATGCATTTTTTGAAAATGCAAGTGAAACCACTGAAGTCTTCTTTGAGTGGCCAAAAAACATGAAATGACAGAGCACATTATGAGAACAATGGTTGTTGTACACAAACAGCCCTGGGTTTGCATCATATGCATATCAGCTGAAGGGTTTAGGAGTGCCTAACTTTGAAAAGAAAAGACTCAGAGGTCACAGCAATCATCTTCAAATGCCTGAAAGGCTAGTGTATGGATGAGGGATTAGACTTATTTGGCTTAATTTCACAGCACAGAACTAGGAGCAATGAAAGGAAGCTTCATATGTACAAATGTTGACAAAATATAAGGGGACACTTCCTAGCAAAGAGAGCTATCCAAGTGAAATGAACTGCTTAGGGAAGTAGTGGTTTCTCTCAGTTTTTAAACAAAGGCTACATGACAACTCATCATCGATACTGTACAGAAGATTCTCATTCAAGTACAGACAGATGAGACTGATGGTCTCTTTCAACTCTGCTTCTATGGTCCTTGGAAATACTTTATTTTCATATTTCATTTGAAATCACCTTTTCATGCACTGTAGGCATCATAAAAGCTATGATCTTCCTATCCAAATGCTTGGTTACCTAAATACTTCAACAACCTGTTCAAAAAGCCTTCTATTCCAAGAAGCCTCTCTGCCCTAGATGACTTTAACCATTCCTTTATTCTCCCTTTGGCCAACAGGTACATTTTCATTTGTTGGACTTAGTCTTTTTTTTTTTTTGCAAGCATCAAGTCTGTTTTTATGTGTGTGCATTACATCTCATCAATTACAAATGAAGCTGCAAAGGCAAAAACTCTATTGTCTTTTCTATCTCCTTACATCAGTTGGTGGAATGTAAGAAAGTAAGTGTTCAAAAGAAGTTAATTGACTTTTAGTTTTATTCCTTTCTTAGTCAGGTCTCATGTCATATGATATTCCTACCTGATTCCTGCCTCCACTATATCCAATCTCTGATCCAACTTAACCCTATCAATTTTAATTTTCCACAGACACTGCTTTAGAATGTCTCTAAAAATATTTTCTTTACAGATGGAAAATTATCAAATCTGTTACTCCCTCCCCCTTTACCCAAAGCCTATAGGTTAAATCTCCAAATCCATATCCTAGCATTTGAGGTGTTCATAATCCCACTCCAGTCCATCTCTCTGATTATCTGATTTTTCATTATTCAATTACATGAGCTCTCTGTTTTAGCCAGACTATTCTATTTAAAGTTCCTTTAACATGTCTTTTAACCTTTCACCTCTACACACTGCTTATACAAATGGCCCTTTGCCTGAAATATCATCCACTTTCACATCCATACAGCCAAATTGTAGCCACTCAAGGCTAACCCAAAATCCTATTTGCTTCACCAATATTATTCCAAAGGTATCTCCTTCTCCTCTAAACGCTAAGTGTATATTCCCTTTATTTGGCATTGTTCACATACTACTTTCTGTTTTTAGTTAACTGGCAGATGCTGTGTTACCTTCTCAGGAAGGCTGTAAAGGGCTTAGGGGACAGAGTCTGTGTCTTAACTGTTCTGTATCCTCACAGTACATAGCGCACTGCCTTGAACATGGTCAACCTTTAATCAATATTTGTTTATCTCAGCACTGCTTCAGATTTTAAAATTCCAGAAAACTGAATATGCCTTCTTACATATTATGTCTATCATTTTAATAACTTTGCTTTGTGATGATTTCTAGAAAATACAGAAAACATCATAAGTTTCTTGAGGGCAGGTTCTCCTCAGTTGGCATCAAGGATAGACGTGCCAAACGTGCTTGGAATAATTCATCCCTAGTGCCTTAACAACTTAGGTCTAAATCATGTATATATGTATATATATGATTATAGTAAATATAAGTGGATTTGCTTATGCATGTGTTCATTTACATTTTGGTCCAGACATGTGATTTTATTGGTCTACTAAGTCCTGGCAAGCAAGCCTCCTACACAAATACAGCATCAGCACCTGCTCTGAAATGTATAACCTTGGGTCACTGGGTCACTGAAAGGTTAATTCAGTTGGCCACGGTTGCACTATCAAAATGTGTTAGCTGTGGGACTTGAACTCTGGTCTTCCTGATTCTAAGGTTATCTCTTTCACTATTCATGATGCTTCTTCATAATGTGTATGTGTGTGTGCATATACATGTGTGTATATATGCACAACGGAATGTGTATGTATGCATGTATAAATATGTAACCCCAATCCCAACACCCATTGTTTTGGGACTATCCTCACTGGTGAAGATTAATGCCCTGTGGCAGTATGAGCGAAGGGGGTAGAGTTGGCAAAAGTGGGAGAGAGCTGCTTCATCTCTTCATTCTCTGTTTTCATGGAATCACTTCTAGCTCTGTAATTGCATTGTGTTTCCAGCTTTGAGAGAGCTCTCTAGAGACCCACTAGATTAACAATATTTGAGGAAGCAGATAGATATATTTCTGGCCAGTTACACCCTCTCTTTCATGAGAGCAGAGTGAAGTCTAGCCCCAACCTTCTACCATGAACTAAAGTCTACCTTGGAGATGGTTGGGGGAAAATAGACTAGTTTGTCTCTCTGAGTCACACAACAACACTCTCACGCTGCATGCAGGGGACAGCCCTTGGTATATATGAGGATATAATACATAATTATATGCATAAATTATTAACAACATAAATACTATATGTTTAAATACATACACATGGAGGGATATATGTTTAAATTAACATCTTAATCTTACCCTAGATAAAAATACACCTATTGATTAGAATAATTAGTCAAGTGGACAAAGGAAGGAAACAATGTTTTCTGTTACAGTCAAAATGGACTAATCTCCTTTTCTATTATTACCCAGCCATATCCCATTTCTCTCTTTGCTAGTACTGTCTCACACACCTGGAATGGATTCTATCTTCTGCTATCAAAGTTGGCCCTTCCTTTCATGTAAAATTCAAAATCCTTGATCCATGCCTAATAAAAGAGATCCCTTTAAGTTTTTCAAGGTTCTTTTTGACTGAACCTCTTTTCTTGTTTGTTATTCCTTTGCTTCTTGTATTGTAACTATGTGCATATACGGTTTATTACCCCCTTCCCCGCAATTAAATTTTAAGTTCCTTGAGGGAAGAGATTGTGTTTTATTTCATTTTTCCGTTTTCAGCATGACCTTTTACATGTGTATGAAGGATATCATTAAGTAAATACATTAGCCAAAAATACAGGTAGTCTTGCAGCAAAAATAAGGAATAATCATTGGGATAGTTCATGTGTTCCACAGTTATTCTAATACCAAAACAAAAAGGGTAAAAATGAGCCATTTATAAAGTGTTTTGCAAATCTTAAAGCACTATGCAAATTCTAGCTATTGCAATTGTCATAATTTGTATTATTAGAAGGATCATATCATCTAAGTAGGATCCTGTGAGGACATAATTA